CATGACTGAGTAACTGAACTGAACTGAACTGTACACCGATAGATACTTGAAAGTTTAATCGCTCAGTCATTTCCGACTCTTTGCGACTCCATGGACTATAGCCTACCAGGCTCCTCCATCCATGCGATTTTCCAGGCAAGAATACTGGAGCGGGTTGCTCCCACATCGTAGGCAGACGCTTTACTGCCTGAGCCACCCAGGAAGTCCAATAGGTACATAAGTCACCAACTGAGAATGCTGTCCAGAATTGCAGACCCATGTATCCAACTGCCTGTGGAATTCTCTGCTTAGATATCTAATAGATTCTTAAACCTAAATTCTTCATCTTTCTGCCTAAACATGCTCCTCCCTTTCCCATCTCAATTAATTGCAATGTCATTCTTCCTGTCACCTGGGCCCAAAACTTTGGAGTCATCACTGACTCTTTTACTATCACTCCTATCAGTATGTCAGCAAATCCCATTAGCTCTACCTGGAAACACATCTACTGCATTTCCACTTTTCATTATCTCCACTATACCACTCTGAACCAGTGCCACTTTTGTGTTAAATAAATATTTTGTGTCCCATTTAAGTCTTATGTAGGTTTACCATATATTTTAAAATTATTTTCTTAATGGTTACTCTACAGATTATAAAATACATCTTAACTCACTACTATCTATTGCAGATTAATACTAACTTACTTTCAGGAAAATACAGAAACTTTGGTCCAATATAACTCTACCCACACCTTCCTCTGTGCTTTAATATATATTAAATACATATTTAATATCTCAAATATATCTTCATATTAATACTTAATATTATTTATCCTATAGTTACATCTATACTACCCAATATATTATTAGGTATCATATTATTTCACATGTTGTGACTCATCAGTATAGTGTTATAATTTTTGCTTCATACAATTTCATATTTTTAAAAGACGTTTTGTGAAGAAACAAGAAATATATATTTATATTGTCTTTTTTTCATTCAAGTATAATTGATTTACAGTGTTGCGTTAGTTTCAGGTAGACAGCAAACTGGCTCAGAAATATACATATATATTCTTTTTCAGATTCTTTTCCCTTATAGGGTATTATAAAATATTTAGTACAGAACTATAGCACTATATAATCCTTTATATTAACCCATTTCCAGTGCTCTTCATTTCTTCTTTTTAAAAATTTTTATTTATTCATTTCTTCCTTTGGATTTGAGTTATTAATACCATCTGATATCCTTTCCTGTCAGCCTGAAGAACTCCTTTTAGCACTTCTTGAGGGCAGGTTCCTCAAAATTGCTTATCTGGGTTTGTCTTAATTTCTCTTTCATTTTTGAAGGAAGCTTTGTGGGATATAAAATTCTTGGTTGAAAAAAAATTCTTGGTAGTTTTGTCTTTCACACTTTGAATATTCCATTCTACTGCCTTCCAGCCTTCGTTGTTTCAGATGAGAAATTAGTAATGACACTGATGTTCCATTGTACATGATGGTGGTTTTCCTTTGATGCCTTAAAGATTTTTGTTGTTTGTTTTTAACAGTTTGCATACTGTGTTTAGGTGTGGATCTCTGTAGTTATCCTAGTTGGGTTGGTTGAGCTACATGCCTGTGTAGATTAATGTTTTCAATCAAATTTGCCAAGTTTTCAGACATTATTTTTTCAAATTTTTTTTCTAACCTTCTCTTTCCTCTTCCATTACATGTATGTTGGTCTGTTGTCCCACAAGTGTCTTGAGGCTCCGTTCACTTTTGTTCCATTCTCATGCTTCCTGTTCTTCAGTAGATAATTTCTATTGCTCTCTCTTCAAATTTCACTGCTTCTTTTTCTCTGCTATCTTGAATCTGCTTTTCAGCCCTCCTAGTGAATTTTTCAAGTATTGCTTATTTCTACTCCTAGAAAATTTTTCAAGTATTGCTTATTTCTACATTTTTAGTCATTTAAAAATTTTTAAATAATCTGTTTTCTTATTGAGTACCTTCATTTATTAATATTACTGTCCTACTTTCCTTTAAACACAATTTCTTTTAGTTCTTTGAATATAACTGCTTTGATATCTTTGCCTGCTAAATCCAACTTCTGGGGACATTCAGAGAGAGTTTCTACTGATTTTTGCTCTTCCTCGGAATGGGTCATACTTTCCTACCTCTTTGCATATTTTATTTGAAAGCTAGATTTTTAAATACGGTACTGTAACAACTTTGGATTCCAATTTTTTCTCCCTCCAGGCTATCTTCTGTGTTTGTGTGTTTAGTAACTTGCTTTAGTTAAATCAGTTAAATCTGTCCCCTTTGAAAGGTATGGCTATTGATATCTCTGCTCAGTTTATTTTCTCTTGTTTTTACTTTTCAAGTCTGGCTTCCTAGGGGTCATCCCTGTGTCTAAGTAGCCTAATGGTTAGCTAGTGTTCGGACAGAAATTGGCTTCTGTCCTCTGGTAATGGGTGTGGGCAGGGGAGCACGTTTAAAGTTCAGGCTGTTTTCAATCCTGTTTGAGTTTTTACTTTTACTTTCCTTTGGGCCCTTTCATAGCTCCTCCATGTACAAATCCTCGAGGTCAGCCAGGAGTATGTGGCTATCTTAGGCCCTCTGTTCTCAGCTGCAAATGTACACACCTCAGCCAGGAATACTCTTCCCCCAACCACAACTACAATCTTGGGTTAGTAGAACCATTGGTCCTCTCCTGCTCCATATTAAGTGAGCCCTCTGACTCTGGCAGCAAAGCTGCCAGTCCTCACAGTATCCCCACCTCTGGCAAAATCTCCATGGTGACTAGGCTGGCGGCAGGGCTGGAAAATGGGAGCACCCTCAAGCAAGCGTGTCACAGATTCCCACTGTTATTACTACATTTCAGCAATTGTTCAAACACAAACACTTCTCATATTATTCTATGCCTTTGGTCAATTTTCAAGGTCCTAAAATGGTTGTCCTCATCAATTTTTTCCAACTTTGTAGTTGTTTTTTGGGAGAGTTGATTTGCCCACCTCCTCACTCTACCACACCTAGAAGTCCCACCCTCCTCAATAAATATTTGAATAATGAGTGACCAAACCCTGTGTTATCTGTCTTCTACTCTACCACACTACTGAGACTCTCCCATCAGAAATTATCAATTGCCTCCCAGGCAGTCAAATAGGCTTTGAGTAAAACAGACATCAGCTGAATTCTAAGTCTGCCACCTAGCAATTGTGTACTGGCAAGTATATTTATCTTGCCCAAGTCTTGTTTTTTTCTTCTGTTAAATGGCTAAAACAACGCCTATGGATACATAATAATGCACTTCAGGTACAGCGTTCTCAGGTAAGGATAGGACTAGACAGGGATGGGATGGAACGAGTCTACCTGGGAAACTAACCCAAGTTTCCATATTATTATTTTGCCTGTTTCTTAAAAGATCTCTCATCAGGTGTCGCTGCAAGTTTTGTGAATGTTTCTGTCGCTGGATTTACGGTTAAAAGAAGCACGTAGCTGAAGGATGAACTTTCTGAGTTTTCACATTGTCCCAGATTTCTCTTTGCAGAACTTTAAACCTTAGGCCCTGGTTGGTTCATTGTGTTAAATCCATTATGAGAATGTTATTTAAAGCTGTACTATAATTGCAACCTCCACTAATTATTCAATAGTGTAGCAGCAAAGTATTATTTGTAAAAATGTTATTCTTTTCATATTTATATCCACTATATCTGGCATTCTAATCATTAAAATGATGCAATAAAACCAATATTAAAAAAAAAAAAAAACTATGGTGTTACTATGAGTAGGGAGGGGTCGGAGTAAGCATCTGGACGAATGTTCCAGGATTCTTTTCCAACAGTGTTTTTGTTTTTCAGGAAGTCTAAGCTCCCATTCAGATGGAGCCTGGGATGCTTCTGGACCTCTTTTATCACCTTCACACTCAAAACAGACATAACTAGTGAGAATGCAAGGATAATACCATGAAAATCCTTTGAGAATGCATCTATTATACACAACTGTTAAGGTATCATTATGCCTTATTATGATGTTCTTTGGGAACTTTTAAAAATGCCTCTCTCTTGGGAACTTCTGATCACAGTAGAATTTCTAAATATGGAGAAGCTACTGAAGTTACTCCCCTAACCTCCTTTTTCCCTGGACATTTTAACCATTATGTTGATATCTTCTGAAAGACCAATACAATAGATAACCCTTCTTAATCACAAACTCTCAGCTTTTAGGTATTCTAAGAACTGAAGAGCATGATCCCCACCCCAATCAGAAATAAAACATAAATTTGGTGGTTCAAGATGGAGAAAAACGAAAGACTAAATAGAATGCTTGGAATCTGAAATGAAAATAGTGTGGCAAGGCTTCCCTAAGTGGCTCAGTTGGCAAAGACTCTGCCTGCAATGCAGGAGACCAGGGTTTGATCCCTGGGTCGGGAAGATCCCCTGGAGAAGGAAACGGCAACCCACTCCAGTATTCTTGCCTGGAGAAGTCCATGAACAGAGGAGCGTGGCAGGTTACAGTTCATGGGATCACAAAGAGTCGGACATGACTGCAACTAACTTTCACTTTTTTTCACTTTCTAAGAACAGAAGAGCATGGTCCCCCCAATCAGAAATAAAACATCAATCTGGTGGTTAAAGACGGAGAAAAAGGAACGATGAAACAGAATGCTTGGAATTTGAAACGAAAATAGCAAGGCGAGACTATCACCGTCTTAGGGCTTTACTCAAAATTCAGCTCTTTCTGTAGGAAATACATGTTTAAAAACAATAAAAAACAACTGCTCTTTCCACATTTTTTTATTTTTAAGAAATTACGTATGTATTGTTTTTGGCCATGCTGTGTCTTTGCTGCTGTGAGGGCTTTCCCCGAGCTGGTGAGAGCAGGGGTGCTCAGGTTGCGGTGCTCAGGTTTCCTACTGTGGAGGCTTCTCCAGTTGCAGAGCGTGGGCTCTAGGGCGCGTGGGCTCAGTAGCTGTGACACAGAGGCTTAGCTGCTCCGAGGCATGTGGAATCTTCCCAAGTCAGGGATCGAGTCCGAGTCTCCTGCATTAGCCGGTAGGCTCTTCACCACTGAGCCACCAGAGAAGCCCCTCCACGTTCTCTCACACTGATTCCTTTTCGTTCCCCCACGCTTAGCCAAGCACTCACTACTGTTACTTGCTTTTGCACCTGTCAGCCAGGCCGCCAGTTCTGAAGGAGGGAGTACCTCCACGTGTCTCCCTGCAGGCCCGGCACTGCTCCTCATTCTCAGATGCAGGCAACGATGGGGCTCATTTTCACTCCCTCACTCGGAAACCTTCAGTGACTCTTCACTGTCCCTAAAAGTAGTCCACAGGCTTTTTTAAATTGCATGTGCCTATCAGCAGACTAATGTTTGCACATCCTCTGATACACACACACGTCATTTATTTTTAAATTATTTATACACTATTATACTTCTATTTTATACAAATCATAAACATCTACCAAAATAGAGAGCTTAAGAGGATGACATTTAACAAGTATAATTAGAATTTGTAATATTTCCTTTCTGTACCTTTTATATACTCCACTCTGGAGACCACTGTTCTGTAGGATAAAATCCAGGTTTTTTTTAAAACCATAATCTTCAGGGACTTCCCCGGTGGTCCAGTGGTTAAGAGCCTACGCTCCCAGTGCAGGAGGCCCAGCTTCCATCTATTGCTGGTAAGGGAATTAAGAGCCCACCACATGCTGCAATATCGGGCATGCTTCAAGGAAGATCCCACGTGCTGCAACTAAGACCCAGCATAGCCAAATAAATAATTTAAACAACAACAATGAAAACAGAAACACAGCCTTCAAGCTGGGATCTAGGTACCCTTAGGGTGCACAGCATAGATAGTATAAGAGGCTCCATTTCCAGATTCTGAGCTACCAAACATGTCATCTCCTGGAAGTGATCTGTCAGGCACGGCTGACATGGAGCTGCCTTCTCTTTCCCAGCCTCCTCTTTCCAACTGTTCTTACCCTTCACAAGGGAAAAAGGCACTCCTCAGCCACCCTGAACTCTGATTTGTTACAAAAGGAAGGGATGATTTGAGAATGTACTAATGCCCGAGGCAGAGTCTCTTGAGATCCCAGTAAGAAATGCCAAAAAGGGCAGCGCCTTATTTCATCCCCTGAACAGATTCCCAGCAACCCTCTGTGCCCTGGACAGTGACTGTCTTATAATAAGAAGTCATAAGTGAGGTGCTGGAAGACCTTAAAGTAATATAGTGTTCTTAATTTAAAAACAGAGCTAGGGGCATCCCAGGTGGCTCAGTGGTAAAGAATCTATTCGCCAACGCAGGAGACACTGGTTCAATCCCTGATCCGGGCAGATCCCATATGCCAAACAGCAACTAAGCCCATGACCACAGTTCCTGAGCCTGTGTTCCAGAGCCCAGGAGCCCAACTACTGAGCCCATGTGCTGCAAATACTGAAGCCCATACACCCTAGAGCCTGTGCTCAGCAACAAGAGAAGCCACCGCAATGAGAAGCCAGCGCTCCACAACCAGAGAATAGCCTCTGCTCGCCACAACTAGAGAAAGCCCTCATGGCAGCAAAGACCCAGCACAGTCAAAAATAAACAATTACCAAAAAAATTCTTTTACATGGAGGCTAACTTTTCCTAATAGAAAATAAGCCTACTTAACTGCCTAGTTTGTTCATGTAGACCGGTTTTGCCAACATAGTGGTATTTTTCATAAGGGAAATGGGCTAGTTCTGTGACTCCACCTTGTTAATGAAAATACATGTACAGTACTTATCTGACAGACTATACACCAGAAATGTCATCATTCGCACCTATTTCAACTTCTGATGACCACTGCCTTAAACAAACCTTCACAATATTTGTAACCACCTCAGACTCCTTCCCACCTAATCTCCTCTTAGCCTTTGCCTTTAATTGAAAAATGGAGCTAGGGGCTTCAGGCTTTGGCCAAACCACACTCAGGCTGCAGGCCATTCTTCCACGTCTATACCTCTGTGTGTTCACGTTAGTCCCTCCATCAGAAACACCCTTCCTTGTCATCACTGTATGCTGAATTCCTATCTAATTATCTGCTTGATCTGAAGTACTAATTAGGCCCTGAGAATGCAAAATAAACATAATAATAGCCTTAACCCCGTCTTGACAGGATTGAAGAGTCTTTTATGGGAAACAGATAAGCAGTGACATATGCTGTGATAGGGCATGGGGAACCACAAGCTGAAGGGCACTCAGCAGGGGCACCCTCCCTTCACCTGGGGAAGTCAAGGAAATCTTGGGAGGAAGTAGCCAGAAGGACAAGACCCACTGATGAGCAGGAGTTGGCCTGACATTTTGCAGGGAGGGAGGAGAAGACGACTGTGGTGCTGAGAGAACAGCAGTGCGTTGAACTGACATTGTTAAGGCAAGTCCTCTGTGAAGTCAGGATTTTCATCACGAGAGACACACTTACCTAACCCTAAGGTCCAAATAGAAACTTCTACTAAACTCAATCTGTTTCATGTTTTTGAAAGAAGGATCACATTTCTCTCAAAAGCCCAATTTAGAACAGGCTGAAAGTCAAGGGAGAGGTCATCTCTAGAAAAAATTTCCCTTGTGTGTGTGTGTGGTTTTTTTTTTTTTCCTTCCAAACACAAAATATTTGAATCCCAAGTTCAACTGCTGGGGGAATGGGTAGACTTTTTATATTGGGTTCACCAGAAATAGTGTCCAATGAATACTCTTGAGACATCTGTGAGGAAGGCCAGGGTAATTTGTATATGTGGCTCTGTTCTGAGGGTGCAGGCACCCTCTAAACAAACAAGTTAATGAAAGAAGAAACACCATAGAAGAGAAAAATTCAGTTTCTAGGGACTGCTTTGTGCCACGCAAAAGGGAGAGATCATGAGGGCTTAAACTGTCTGGGTCTCCGTGTTCCACCTCTGCTCCCCTCCTGCACTGTTCCAAGCCACAGACCATAAAAGTACCTTCACCACGAGATGCTCAATTCCACGGCATGTCACCACTCACTCTACTGATGTGTTATAAGTTGTTTATTTCTATGAAAGAAGATCCTCAACAAATACCGTAGTAGAAGCAAGGTCTAACAGATGTGGAATCAGCCATTAAATAATTCCTTTACTGGTGACAATTTGACACCCAATAACTCTTTGCTCATTCAAAATAGAAAATATACTGACTCTTCTCTGATACAGTCCTTTCTTACATCATCACAGTGGATTGGCATCTTATTTCTCATCCTGATTTCCTAGTTTATTTTCTTCCAGCATCCATTTGGAGGGTTAACATTTTCTCTGTGACACTATTCACTATGGCAGTAGAATCAGGTAGGTCTCATACACGAGGGCTTAGATATACAAAGCACCAAAGGATGTCTCTTCAAAACACTGACTGTATACGAAAGTGACATGACATGGACCCAAAGAACTACATCACCAGATAGGTTCCAACAGGTTTATATTGTTGGTAAAGCTACTTCATCTTTTTCAGGAAACCCTTTATGAGCTCATCCCAGAAAACACTTGATCTTAGCCAAAAAGCCGAGAAGCGATCATCCCAGAAAACAAAAACTCATTTTTGTTAGAATGTTATTATCAAGCTCTGGAGGGTGAGGACTATGTTTGATAACATTTTCCTATTACAAATGTTTCCTATCAGTGACACCATATTTTTCCAGATGGGTGGGCCAATTATATTTCTGCTCTAAATCTTGTTTTCTTCCAGTTCCCCAGGAGTTTTCTGATTGTGGCCTTTAACAAAGTTCCCAACAATGGTAAATTGAGGTTTGTTTTGGAGTATGTATATAAATGTGTTTGCAAATAGGTTTAGATCCTGGTGTGGAAAGAGCCTGCAGTCTCCTAAATAGAAAAATCATCAAGTAAATCAGAACTGACTTAAAGAGTTTGGAAAATGGTAGTGGGTCTTAGTGACCTTGTATCAAACCATGGCCAAGGCCACATTCTAACACATCCCCACTCCCAGATTAATTTAATTTCTGTCACCCCCTTCATCTTTTAAAATTCCTTCCATTCAGCAAAATCAGTTCCATTCAACAGAACAAATACATTGTGACTTCTGCACCTTATAACTCCTTATGTGCACTGATGGAAAATATGGTTTTAATTTCCAGCGTTGCACCTGAGAACATGCCAGGGCTGGGGGCTGGGTAATGAAATGAATTAAGCCTCCTCTTCCTCTGAAGCCCCAGGTTTTCCTAACACCCATATACCATATGCCAGTTCATTTAGGCCGGAGGGCTCCTCAAAACTGAGGCCATTTTCTTGCAGGGTCAATTTGGTCTCTTTTTAGACAAGCGGACTGCATTTGAATGTTACCTTGGTGTCAGAGCCTTCTCTGGGCAAAGGGCCGGACGTTCACCTGCAACCTGTCTCCTCCTTCCCCGGCAAGCTCCTTGCAGCGTCGCGGCGCTTCCAGAAGATGGCGCCGCAGCTGAATTTTCGCGACCCGCTCTCTAAACCAGCAGAAGCGTCTGGAATAAACAGGAAGGGGAATTTGTTTTTTAAAGCATTCTGAGTTTCAACATATATTGCCTTCTTTGTTGAATCAGAAGCTTTTTTTATTTGACTTAAATTGAAGTGCATTTAAGAAAAAATCAGCGATGACGCAATCCCAAATACGGGGTGGTGGGGGGGTTGTTTTGTTTTCTTAAGAATTTCCACTTTCACAAATGATTCAGGAAGGAAGTTTTCAGGTAGCATAAACTGTCTCAAGAACACAGTGGTTCAGAAACGCTAGCACGGTGTGCTAGGTGAAGAAAGGCAGCCTCAAAAAGACCAACAAGGCGTGGCAGGGGAGAGCCTCGCTGGGCCGCAGCGGAAGTGACCTTAGAGGCGGGCGGGGCGGTGGCCGTGGAAAACAGCGCCGCCTGCTGGTCGAAAGAGAAAAAGCTCGGATCTTGCCAGAGGCTGCGGCGTGGCTCCCTGGACAGTTACTCCCCACAGATATTTTCAAGATGCTGCCCGTTATGCCCCTTCCCCAACAAAATTGAAAGTAATGGGCACAACCAGGTAAGTCTTTCTGTAGAGAAGAAATCTTAGAGGCCCGTTGTGGTTTGGGAATACAGTGTTTCAAAGACCTTCACTGTTGTTAACACTCCCTAAAGCTAAAAATGGTGGATTTGATTATTATGGTATAATTGTTACTTAAAACAATCCATAAAGGAGACTGAAAAATAGAACCCTATAGGGGCTCTCTTTCATTTATCCCATCCTGCTTTATTTACAAAATAATAAAAGTGGTGATCAGAAGCAAATTGGAAAAAAACGGGCAGAAGGTGGAATTTCAAGGTGATTGTGCTTATCCTTTCTTATTATGGCCCCTCATTTTTATTCCAGGGTTGTTGCAGTTTCATTTCTGGAGTCCCTCCTCCTCTCCCCACTTCCTTTTTCTCTTCACTCATTTGACAGGAGCCTCCGCAGTCATCGGCCTAGAATACGTCATCGTCATCCACTGGGAGAGAAGTGTGGTACCACCTTTCTCCCCCTATGGCTGAAGCCCGCGGAAAGAAGATGAATGTTGCGTTTCTGCTCCTGACCCAGCACGATTGTTGGGAACTGTTAACCTGCAAGATGATGCCAAAGCGCAGCCTCCCTCCTTTTATGCTGTATAGAATTTTAGGTTGCCCTTCATTAAGCTGATGCTTTCCCCTACAGAACCCTGTCCTTCACATTGCCCAAATGATGTGCTAATAACCTTCTCCTCTCTTCTACTTGCAGAGATTCAGTGCATTAAGCCTAAGAGTTGTACACACACACCCCGCCCCCCACCCTTTGTCTTCTTTTAAGGGAGTGAAGACCCATAGGTGGACAATTTCATTTAATTAGTCATGCAGTGTATCAGGTCGCTGTTCTCTTGACATGAAAATTTCCATCTCCCATCAAGGCATAGCTGTAAGCATTTATTATAGGCTCTGGTTCAAAGCAGGCCCTCTGTTTTGAGCAGGAGCACCAGAAATTAGGAACCTGACTGGAAGAGAAGCTTCGTGAGGTCCAGAAGGAAAGTTGGGCCCCCAAGTCCTGTTTATGAGTGCTGTAGCCTTCACAATCTGGATCCGACCAAATGAACACTGAGAGCAGTGTCTGGCGTACAAAGAAGAATAATGGATGTGTAGTAACTTGACTGAGTCGGGGACAGGATCCAAGACATGCCTGACATTTGTTTATCAGCAGAGAAACGAAGTAAAGGAGGAGATGTCTCCCTCAGTCTTACAAAAGTGTCCTTCGGGGAGACGATACAGGAACAGGGCGCTGATAACATTAATACTGTGCAGGCAAGCACACGCCTCCCCACATCCCCAGGACTGCTGAACCCAGTGTTATTAAACTAATCGGCAGGGACACAGCTCTGAGCCTCTCCTGCCACAGTCCTCAGAGGGAGTCGGCTCAGACAAAGCAAAGTGGCTTTTCCGAGGGGGAGGGGTGCCCACTTTCTCTTTGTTCTTCCTTGGAAAATAGGCTCTCTCTCAAGTCTCATAACCAGCTGCTTTCATCTCTCAGAGGAAGGCAAAGGAAGTTAATTCCCAATAAAAATTTGGACAGCATATTTTTTAGAGCCCTGAACTCTGACTGTAAAATGCAGGGGCAAACTCATTACAATTCTAACACACTGTAAGTTTTATTCTGGGTTTCTAGGCAAAAATTTCAAAAAGGTGCCTCTCCTTATCAAATAAAAATATAATAAAAAGGTCATCTTCAGAAAGGGGTAATAGAGACAGTGCTTTGAGTCCTTCTTAACCTAATAATAGATGTCGTGCACTCTATTCTTAAGAATCTCTTCCTCAGAGGTATGATTTAATGAGCATATTCCTTTGTCTGCTAAGAAATAAGGGCTCTCTGAGAAGTCACACTTTTTTATACTACGTGATTTTTTTTTTCTCATAAGAACGATTTAATATAGCTCCTTTAGAGATAAAAACATTTAGTATTCCCTGTCCCTGACTTACGTGTGGAATTAAGAGAAAGGATGTTTGTTCTTGTATCAGGAATAGGCCTGCCACACCCCAGGCACTCAGAGCATCTGCTCCCTGGACTGATTCTTAAACCAAAGCTACACATGGCTTCCGTGCTTGACAGCTGAGGTGGCCTTTTATATCCAGTTGGAATTTCTGTTTGGGCCTGCTTGAATGGGTTTGCCCACGCAACAGAAAATGGACTCTGTTGGTCAGAGAAAGCTTAATGGGCTGAGGACTAGGCTAATATTTTGGAAATGTTGTAGGTTCATTTCCTGGGAATTTACCCCCCAAAATAAAGTACCTTCGGTCCCTTCAAGTGGCATCTTCAGGCTCTTTAAGACAATTCCATTTTGGGGGGATTTTAAGTGCTCACTAAATATCAGGTATTTTGTCCAGAGTAACAGAATATCTGCATATTTGTATTCAATCCTTGGGCCCTGTGGAAAGCAGCTCTCTACCAGCTCCAGGGGAACCTCATTCTTTCCAGCAGGTTAAAGAGGAAGTGAGAACAACCTCCAGCTAGGGAACCAGCCCAGTGTAAGGACGTGATCTGATGGCTCAAGTTCTACAGGTAAGCTTCTAAAATGACTCTGAAGCTAGACAAGAAACGAATGAGCAAGTGTTAAAGGATTATATATACCTTTGTAATTAACAGAAAAATTGGATAAAATAGCACTGGGCATGTATAGTCATAATACTACCCTGTGTTTAGGTTATTACCTGTTACCCAGAGAGTATATTACAGAATGCCTTTCATCTGACAGGTTCAAAGTTCTTTCCAGTGTTAACCTCATACCTTAAGGCATTTCAATTTAACAACTAATAAGCACTTTGAAGGCAAGAGCCATGTCTTGCTTGCACTTCCTTTATGTTTTGCACAGTGTCCAGCAGGTATTAGACAGTAGGTGCTCAGGGAATTCTATCTTAAAATATGTGTGTGTGTGTGTGTGTGTGTGTGTGTGTGTGTGTGTAGGCTGTGCTGTAATCCTGAGATTAGGCCTGCCTTTTTGGTCACATCTGAAGAAAATGGATAGTGATACTTTGAGGACAGAAAATGAAAATGGGGATATTGCAGCTTCTCTGATAATGACCATAGCAGCTGACTTTGCTATACCAGAAACTGTATAAATGCTTCACACAAGTTATCTCATTTCAACCTCACCACAACCCTACAGGCTCAGTTTACTATTATTATATTGTTATTTTACATATGACAAGATATTATTCAAGTCACACAACTAATAGAGAGTCACATCAGGGACTTGATTCCAGAGAAAGATCTGTCTCCAAGGTACGTGCTTTGAGGTTCCTGCTCTAGAATATCTAATAAGGATACTTCTAGTTCCATTTACTACCTTCTTTGAGGGGTTGCCTCACAACATATCTGAAGTGGGAGGGAGAGAGGGAAGAAAGCAAGTAAACACAGTTCATAATGTACACATTTCAGTTTGCATGAGTTTGATGTTCTTTCCTATATGTTATCTCATTTAATCCCCACAGCACTGTCAAGTATGTTACTACTGTCTCTTATATATAAGGAATATATCTCTGGAGAATGGGCTGATTTTTTAAAAAGTAAATGCTAAACTTCTTAGCTGAGAGGCAACAAATCTGATAACACTGTCCTTGCCCTAAGCATCTCACCTCAGCTGAGAGCGTTGGTACGAGTTCTTATGTTTCTTTCCTTTCTTACTAACACTCCAATGAGCCATAAAGCTTATGCTTGTCTCTACTTGTCCCATAAATGCAGATACAATTAAATGCTGACTCACATGGAATAAGCCATTTCAAAAGCTGAGGCAAAGTAGAGAGGAAACAGTAAAAGGAAATGCTATGTGATGTAACAAAAAGAATGAATTAGATTTAAATATGTGGCTAAGAAAAGATCTCCACAAGGCATAGTAAATTAGAAAAAGAAAGAAAGGAGAGCAAGCTGCAGAATAAAAAGTACAACAATGGTACCACTTATGTTTTAGAAAGATATGAAACCGTATAATATGAATATACACACATCTATGCAAACACACATAGAAAACAATTGGTTACACCTCAAATTGATAATAGGTTTATCCAGAGAGACAACTGGGTCCAGGCTGAGGTGCATAGTATTGGCAGACTTCTTTGTTATCTTTTTATTAGATAATTTATTCAAATGTGTATGTAAGAGGAAAAAAAAAGGACAGAAAAGAAACAAGGAATGCTGTTAGAAAATGAAAGATTAGCAACAAAAAGTAAATGATACAGATACACAAACTAAAATCCACTGCCTCATTCACATCCAGAAGAGACCGATAGATTCGAAGAGATTCCTCAAGCTGGCATTATCATTATCAATTGTATGGTTTTTTTTAATGTAATGTTTCCTGACTCTACCAGAACTACATGGCTGCGAAGGACACTAGGCTTGGAGCCAGACGACTGGGTACAAGGCCTGACTCTGCATTTCTCTGTAACCTTGGGCTAATTTCTCAGGGCCCTAGTTTCCTTATCTATCAAGATAATAGTAACATACTTCAGAGGGTGCTTTGAGGAGTAAATGAAATAATGCTCAGGAAAGAACAGCAAAATCCTGCAGACTGACATTTATAAATGTGTTTTTGCATCTTTTCTTCCCATTCTCTCTCCTCCACTTCAGATAATGATTATTTTATGTACCTTTAGATGTCTGAATGCCCCACAATGAGGCAGAGTTAAATTAACAAACCATTAGTCTTCAGATAACATTTGCTAATAATAGGCCTCCTTTACTTGAAACTATAGTTATGCACATGTGTAGTTTTTAAGCTTAAATAACCCATATTCATGTATTTATTTTAAGGAATATATATCTGTTTGACTCCATCTATAAAATATATTATTTTCTTATAAAACCTTACTTTTGATACAAAAACTACAATATCCAAACAGAGAGGCCACTTAAAGTATAAGCCAAAAATGCATTACAGTTTTTTTTTTTTTGCATCTTAAAATGTGCTTATTTGTGGTCCTACTGAAATTTCAGGCTGTTCTGAAATTTGAGTAGCCAATTATAAACCTTATAATAAAAAGGATTGCAAAAATAATAAGAGAAATACTATCACCAATATAATTAAGCACAAAAGAGAAACAAACACATTAATAAATATCAGTTGCCTACAGACAGCAGCACCATGTCCACGCCGCATGATCTATTTTCAATTACAGCCTCACCTTTGAAACAGAGCCAGGTTCTCATCTGCTTTTGCTGGATGTGCCTGTGTTAAAAGGCGCAGGGACCTGAAGATTTCTAGTGAAGTAAGTAAGAATCCAGTTTAAGTTGTTTTGCAGTTTGAGTTCAGAAGGGATTCATATTTAAAGGAACCAGTTCCAAGCAGACAAAGCACGCCTCCCTCCCAAGCTCCTCCACACCATTAAACTGGGCTGTCATTTTAGAGGTGGGCGCTCATTGTTCACTTTCTTCTCCTCTAATTAGACTTGACAGATTGCTCTTTCTAGCTAGACTGGCTATTGCCAAGAACAGAGAGGAAGAGAGGAGGCCAACCTTGTCTTTATGCCCTTGGAATCAGCTCCCCACCCCCATCCCCAGTCTACAGACACAGAAAGGCATCCCCAGCCGCTCAAATCTCTTCTTCTCCTCTAGCCTCCTTGCTTGGCCCCTGGCAGTCTCAGCACCACTGACTTTTCTTACTTTCAACACTGAGAGATTCAAAGCCTCATAGGCTGTGTGAGTGGAATAAGTGTACACTAATATTTAATTTATATCTTTCATATTAATACTTTTTTTTTTCCTCCTGCAGGCCTGGGGGGAAAACAGACCAGCTTACTAAAGGGAAAGACACGGCAGTTCTACGCAAGAGCAGCAAATACTCATTGCTTCATAAGACAGAGCTCTAGAAGGATTCAGGCCCTGACACTGCGTCCTGCATCCATTCTTCTGAAGCAGATCCCTCGCCCCCGCCTCCAGTTTCCGTATCTGTAAAATGGCATCAATAATTCTTGAACCTTTATCATATCATGTTACACTGGTATTATATAAGAATTAGATAATAAAATTCTAGGACTGGAAAGAATCTTAGAGATCATCTAGTCTAGTATCTTTGTTTGGAAGACTTGAAAAACACAGGCTGAAAGAAGGAGGCGACAGGCGTAGTGTTATGAAATTAGTTCACAGGCTTTAAACACATGGTGCTGAACAACAGCTTGCTAATCAGCTTTGTCACTAACAGGCCTTTTCCTAGTTTAGCCTATGCTTGATAATAAGCTTTATTGGCCAGGAAAGCAACTTTCTTTCTCCAAGGAAGGAATTCCCCTCACCCAAGCACTATGTATTCAGAAATGCTTCCCTTTACTAAGAACCAACCCAGTGGTCTTGTAATAGAACCTGAGTCACCCAATGCCACATGCCTCTCACAGTGGCCCAGGATGACACTCAATAGGCTGAGGTCTGGGGCCCTGCTCTCAAATAAGAGTGGGCCTGTCTTTGACCTCAGCCTGGCTGTGCCTACAGCCTCAAGAGCTGTGCGCAGTAGAGACTGTCAGGAACAAATTTGTTCTTCTTGGAACAAATCTAGTGTTTCTAGGTTGAAATGTAAATCCCTTCATTTATCATTCATTCCCTTACAACCTTTTAATAAAAGCCCATGTTTTGCTAATCCCCTGAAAGCTGATAAGACTCCTACAGTGAGTAGGACCCAGCCTCAAGGAGTTTTAGAAAGAACCAGAAGTGTAAATTGCTTAGGTGCAGTGGAGCACGGTGGGAACCTGTAGGAAGGAGGAGATGGTCAGTTTGCCTTGGTGGGGGTTTAAGGAATCAGAAAAATGCCATAAAAGAGGTAATACTTGAGCTGAGCTTTGGAAAATGAAGGTTATTTTCCAGGTGGAAGTGAGGCGAGTGCACGGCATTCAGATAGAGAGTGAGTCTGGTGCTTGGTGGTGGTGGGGGGAGGGGGGTGGGATTTTTTTGGTCTGCTTAGTATGAGGAAGCATCGCAGTAAACTGGAAATTTAGGTAGAGATCAGTGAAAACATTATATGACAAATGAAAAAGTTTAGATTTTATTGTGGCAGCTCATAGGGACCTTTGAAGAGTTTCAAACAGGGGAATAACATGATCCAAACTGTAGTTTTGAAAGATGGCTCTGGCAGCAGTGTAGAAGATAGAAAAGGAAGAGGTGGGAAGAAGCAAGACCCAAGGCAGAGAGACAATGCAAAAATTTAGGTGAAACAAGACAGCTAATTCAATCTCTTTAAAGAGCCAGGAGGGAGAATTCCCTGGTGGTCCAATGGTTAAGACTCCACACTTCCACTGCAGGGGGCCCAGGTTCAATTTCTGGTGGAGAGACTAAGATCCTGCAAACCACAAGGTGTGGTCAAAAAATTAATTAATTAATTTAAAAAAGATTTCAATGGGAAGGATCAAAGAAGGGGAACTGTTTTACTTTCCAAGAGGCTTCAACTACATGCAGTGTGTGGACCTTGTCCAGATCTTGATTCAAACAGGCCAGCTGCAAACAGAAAATCTGGAAGAAAAACATAGTATTAGATAATATTAAGGCATTCTTGTTAACTTGGTTAGGTGTGAAAATGCTACTGTGGTAATGTAATACAACAGCATACTGAAATGTTTATGAGTGACATGTCATGATGTCTGGATTTGCTCTAAAACACGGTAGAAATAATAGATGAAGTAGCTATGGCAGAAAGTTAATAATTATTCAGCTCAGATGATGAATATGTAGGGTTTTATTACACTCCATGTATATCTTACAATCTTCAAAATAAAAAGCTAACATTTTGGTAAAGGATCATGAGATGCTAAGGCTTCCCAGGTGGCCCAGTGGTAAAGAACCCACCTGCCAATGCAGGAGATGTGGGTTCGATCTCTGGGTTGGGAAGATCCCCTGGAGAAGGAAATGGCAACCCACTCCAGTATTCTTGCCTGGAAAATCCCACGGACAGAGAAGATTGGCAGGCTACCGTCCATGGGATCACAAAAGAGTTGGACACAATTTGGCAAATAAACAATGAGATGCTAAATTAAAGAAATTATAATGAGAATGGAGAGAAGAGAGCTATGAGAGATACTAAACAGGCAGAATGAACAGTGCTCAGTGACTGATTATAAGTGGTTAGTGAAACGGAAGAAGTGAAGTGACTTCCAGTTTTTTGCTTGGGTGGGTGGGGAGATAGGAAAGAGTTGCCCAAGGCATACTTACATTTAAGAAGTGGGGGTAGGAAGAATTTGCAAAAGAGATTGAGAAGAATGGCCAGAGGCATATGAAGAGAAACAGGAAAAAATAATTTCTGGAGAATCTGTGAAGAAACAATGGGTCAATAGAATCAAATGTCCCAAGTTAAAACATGAAACCCATTGGATTTAGCATCTAAATGATAATTGCCAAAAACATTCAGTAGAGTATAATTCGAAGAGGGAAGAATAAATGAAGCCTGGAAGATGAGGGGGAGGGTTGGATGGTCCTCAAAGGAAGAGGGAGGTGGCTAGAAATGGTTTTTAAGTGGATTAGTTCTAGTCCAGTGGGATGATCAATTACCTCTGCTCAAGGGGGTCAGTAGAAGTGAATTCTTGAGAGAACAAAACAAAACAAAAAACCAAATTTTAGTTAAGGCAAGGAAGAGAAGGGTAATTCTGTAGAGATTAAGAATGTAGGGTTGGTCCAATAAAGCAAAAATTTTAGATGGCATTAGGAAGAGCATTTACAAGAAGATCAGCAAGTGTCTGAGAGTCACGGGGGCAGAAGGGGACTCTTGACCTCTAGCTGGCATACTTTAGCAACCTCTTCAACAGTTGTCCATATATAATTCTTTCTGCTCTCTGACATCTTGGAGGTATTGAATCTGGAAAATGTTTATAAAGTATAGCTTTGGTCAGGTCAAACCCTTGCCCTAAAATTTTCATTAGCTCCCAATATCTACTGAATTAGGTATACTACAGATATTGAAAACCCTTCCATAATCTGATTCCAACCTGTTTTTATCAGGCTGATCTTTTGGTGTTTGTTTGCTTGTTTTTGTTATGTTTTGTTTTTCTTCTCATGCACCTTCCTTCTAGGATGCTAGGTTATTTGATATTCTCTGAATATATTAATTATATGAAATATTATAGGAAAAGGGCTGAGAAGTGTCTAGCATATAGTAGCATTCCACAGATGTTAGTTTTGGGATACTGAACTATTTATAATTCCCTTCTAACCATTTCATTCAGTTTTCTTTAACCTAAAGTCTCTTTCCACCTTCTTCATGTCATATAGCAAGATTCAGCTCAGGTGTCATTTATTCTAGGAAGACTTTCCTGCGTTCTCAGGATGTGGGTGCCCTTGTCTGGGCTTCTGCAGCAAGCCCACCTCTCCTGACACTCAGCCTATTAGATCTGTTTATATGTCTGTTTCCTCATTAGAATATAAATTTCCTGGTGGCCAAGGCTGAATTTTTTTTTAACATATTATAGCATCAGTACACAGTACAGTACAAGGCATTATATATGCTTTTTAAAAACTGATGTACTGAACACAGGGCTTCCCTTGTAACTCAGTTAGTAAAGAATCTGTCTGCAATGCAGGAGACCCAGGTTTGATTCCTGGGTTGGGAAGATCACTGGAGAAGGAAATGGCAACCCACTTCAGTATTCTTGCTTGGAGAATCCCATGGACAGAGGAACCTGGCAGGCTACAGTCCACAGGGCCACAAGAGTCAGACATGACTGGGTGACTAAACTACCACCATGTTGAACAAAACTTCACTTCCTCTCTTCTTAAGTACATTTATGTGATGCGTGATGTGGTTTCTCCTATGATATCTTCGCTCTACTCCTGAATGGAAGTGGACATTATTTTTGTCACCACAGTGTCCCTTCCTGTTCTTTTGGCAACAGGCTTGATTTTCTTCCTGAATTCTCTGCTCTTGAGGTTTGTGATCTGGATGGGGCTTCCCCAACACCCTGTCCCAGGGTGGAGGAAAAGACACAGGCCTAAATCAGCCAGTTATTGTCCTGTTTCTGGTGGCCTAACTGGTTTAGGGGAGCCCTGTGCTCTAAGCCTTTCCAATCATAGTAAATCTCAGGACTTTCTTCAGTTACTAGAAGAGGAATTCTTTTCTTTCTCTCCCTCTTTCTTCTGCATATGGTCGGTAGGGTGCAGGGCTACAGTCATTTTCATACCACAAGAGATAAATCTGTTTGAAAATAAAGGCACTAGTTGGAGAGAAGACAACCAAGAGAAAAAGAGAGAGAAACAAAATCTTGGTGATGGAAACAGAATTGAATTCAGCTATGTTTGGAAAGAAAACTATTGCTTGTCAGTTTGTGTTGGGTTTTCTGTCATTTGCAACAAAACCACCTTCACTAATATAATACTTATGGGTAACAAATATACTACTTGACACATGAGACTATTCAACAAATGTGTGTTTCATAGATAAATAAGTTGTGAGGAGCAGCAATTACTTACTTCTACAGTGCGATTTGATCATCCTTCTGGAGATGGATAACGGTGATGTATTCACAGCCACGTGAATACACTTAACGCCACTGAACTGTGCACAGAAAGATGGTTAAAATAGTTAACTTTATGCTGTATGTTTTACTCCACTAAAAAAAAAATGAATAAGAGAAAGGAAAAGATTATCATTAGACTGGAAATAACAGTTTGCAGCCCAGTTATCACATGAAAACATAGGGAGAGGAAAGCTTGCCGCATTGTACCCATAATACAGGTAATCATTCTCTGCTTTTAGAAATGCATCCTAGGGAAATAACTAGGTAAGTATACAAAGCATGTCTATCTGAACATTATTTGCAGTATCAATAGGGACTAGCTAATAAAATTATATTCAGAGAATAGAATATTATATAGTCATTAAAATAAGGTAGACTTATGTGTCACTTCTTATGAATATATATGTCAGAGTGCTATTGGAATTATATTAATGTCAAATAGTTTCACAAAAATAATGTAAGACTTTTATGAGATTTAAGGGCTTCCCTGATAGCTCAGTTGGTAAAGAATCTGCCTGCAATGCAGGAGACCCCAGTTCAGTTCCTGGGTCAGAAGATCCGCTGGAGAAGGGATAAGCTACCCGCTCCAGTATTCTTGGGCTTCCCTTGTGGCTCAGCTGGTAAAGAATCTACCTACAATGAGGGAGACCTGGATTTGATCCCTGGGTTGGGAAGATCCCCTGGAGAAGGGAAAGGCTACCCACTCCAGTATTCTAGCCTGGAGAACTCTATGGACTGAGCAACTTTCACTTTCACTGTTGTGAAATTTATGAATTAGAACTAAATTTGGTTGGAAGGAAGAACCTCATTCAGTGGATGGTAGGAGGTAAAAAAGCTCACTCAAAAAGAACTTACCAAAAAAAAAAAAACTTACCATATTTCACTGAACTTCAGATACCACTGGTTGTGAGGTGCTTCCTGATTTCAGAGATACTAAAATGTGAAAAACTATACAGCAGAAAATTGTGCATAAAGATAAGTGGGATGAAGGGAAATAAGACATGAAAATCATTAGATAAAGTAAACTCAAAAGCCAAAATGTTATAAGATTTATGGAATAAAATGATTTCATACCTAGTAAAAGGAAGCTTTGAGGAGAGGGCATGGCAACCCACTCCAGTATTCTTGAATGGGGAATTATATGGACAGAGGAGACTTTCGGGCTACCGTCCATGGGGTCACAAAGAGTCAGACATGACTGAAGTGAGTTAGCACACACGCTCATAAGATGGCCACAAAACCATGCGCTGAAGACTGATTTTGTAACTAAACTAAAATAGGAAGCAAGCAACTCTCCCTGCTGTTTTGAACACTGCATATTAGGTAACAGTGAGTGTTAATTCATTTACATTTGTGAGGTTTCTTTCTCTATTTTTTCTTAAGTGGAGGCCAGGCTTATAATTTTAGCTTCGCCTTCTCCCACTTTAGGAAGGAGTTTGGCAGCTCAAGAGAGATAAAAAGGAATGGGAGTGACGAACTGCTAATACTCAAGGAGAAGGTCAAATGTCTACATTTTTCTTGTAAACAGAAAGTACGGAACTCAAGACTTCCCCTAAAAGTATTTGGTATCTCTTCCCATCTTGTTTAAAGTAGCCTCACAAGATAGGAATTTGACCAGCTGTCTAGGGGGAAACGGGCTTTTAAAACATCAAGCATTCTCTCTCCATCTGCCCCTCTCCCTCTGTCTCTCTTTCACACACACACAGTCACAGATTTCAGTGCTTAGGAATACACCATACGTATGCTATTTACTCACATAGCTTGTTCCTTATTTTCAGTTATTTCTGTCCTCAGTAGAGAGGGAAGTATTTGGGAAGGCAAATTGCTCTTGGTTATTTCTATGACTCACAATGAGGCCAAGTCAGGCACCCAGGACCACTGCCACCAGCAATTGCTGTATCCAGAGCATCATGACAAGGACCTCACATTTGATGTAATTACTGACCACAGACAGCAGGACTTCACCAAAAGCCACAGGGATGGGTCTAGGCAAAATGCACTGGTAAATAAATTTACCTCATTGGATGTCAGATCTAGAAGGAAACCTAAAGAACACGTAAGCCCTGAAATTCCTAACGCCTGTCAAGCAACAAACTCACCTTAGAAGCTTTTGAAATATCTTGGGGTGAGATCCCAGGATTGCTTTTTTTTCCAAAAAGCTTCACATGCAATTCTACTGTATGTTAAAGGTTAAGAATGGCTGTTCTAATCCCATTCCTCTTATCTTACAGATGGTGACCTGGGGCCCAGAGAGGTGCTGTCTTGCTCGCGATCACACACCTGGTTAAGAGCAGAAACAAGACAAGAACTGAAACCTCCTGATTCCTGGCCTAGAGTCTTTATCCTTACACTACTGTCCTGCCCCACTGACTGTTTTCTGAATATTTACTATTATTACTTCCTAATACAATTGAAAATGTATAACCATTGGTTATTTAATGACAAATCATGAAGTTGCAAGATCTAGCATTTATAAAAGAAGTCAGTCACAAAAAAATCACATATTCTCTGAATCCTTTTATATGAAATGTCCAAAGTAAACAACCCCACACTGATAGGAATAAACTAATAAATTACTAGGAGCTGGCAGAAAAGGTAGAAATGGGCTTCTTTGGGGAGGTGATGAAAAGTGTTCTAAAATTAATTGTGGCAATGTTTGTGTAACTCTGTGAATATATTCAAAAACCACTGAATTGTACACTTTCAAAATATGAATTGTATGGTATATGAATTATATCCCAATAAGACTGTTTTTAAAAAAAATCTAGCACTAACTTCTCACTGGATTCTGAAAGATAATTTAAATATTTTACTTAATTTATTTTTCAACATATCTCTAAAACAATACATAGTTTCCAAATGGATCTTATCCTTTAGTTTAGTTTATCCCTACTGAGGTCTATTTCCCAGCACCCATACCCTCAAAGAGATTAATCTTCTCAGAGCTTAGTCTGGCATTTAGGATCCTTGTTCTTCTTGCCACCAGACATGGTGCCTTTGCCAAGATTGTTCCCTCCACTGAGAAGGCCAAATTGTGTGTTCAAGGCCTGGCTCATACATCATCTCTTCAAGGGGGATCCTTTGTATCCCCCACACTGGAGGCTGTCTGTCTTCCAGGGTGTAAGAGGTGACTTTTTAAAAGAAATTTATTTATTTACTTATTTTTGGCTGTCCTGGGTCTTTGTGCTACATGCAGACTTTCTCTCTAGTTTCGGGGAGCAGGGGCTACTCTCTAGTTTCGGTGCATGGGCATCTCATCGCAGTGGCTTCTCTTGTTGTGGAGCATGTGCTATGGGTCACACGGGCTTTAGTAGTTGTGGCACATGGGCTTAGTTGCCCCATGGCATGTGGGATATTCCCAGACCAGAGAATGAACCTGTGTCCCTTGCATTAGCAGGTGGACTCTTAACCATTGGACCACCACCGAAGTCTTAAGAAGTGACATCTTGATCAAATGTTTAGATACCACATAACAAGGTCATCAGCCTTCCAGCCTGAAATCTGGGCCTTCACCACCCACTAGTGATACCCGTCACTAAGTTAACACCACCTTTGATTTTTCTTATTGCATCACCTCAGGTCTAGCACTAAATTCTGTGTCTTAACTTTTTTTCTTTCTTCTGCCCATTATGCTATCCCCCCTCTCCCCCTCCATCTTGTTCCCACCTTCTCAATCCCATCCCCATTCCTACCTCCTCCCTTCACACCTAATTCTTACTAAATATTCAGAACTCTGGAAAAATGTCATCTCTTCCAGAACGGCTTCTCTGATGGCTCCCTTTTCCCTTAGGATGGGCAAGGAAGTATAGAGAAACGGACAGCTTTGAAAAGTATTGTAGAGATCAAACTGGTAGAACTTGCTCATGTGAAATAAGGATAAAAATAAATCATAAAGATTATACAGAATAAACTGTGAATTTGAGAATAAGAATTGGTAACAATTTAGAGTAATTTCATACATGTTTTTCTAAGCTTTATGTCAATCTTTAATTGGTGGATTTTAATAAGAGGGATCTTCTATATCCTGCCAAGCACATCTTCCTTAAACATTCCTTTTCTAATGGGATAGATCAACATTGCTTTATGGATCCAGGGCCTTTAATGACTCCCTTCCTGCTGCTGCACAAGCCTAAACTCTGCTCTGCTTTAAAGGACTTCATAGCCAGTCCAGCCCTCCCTTCAGCCCCACAGAGCTGTGGGCAGGCTGAGTGCTTCCTCCTCCTGCACGGGTCTTGCTCACTACTCTTGCTTCCAGCTCTTTTGCCTCCTTCTTGCCTGGGGTGGTCTTTTCTCTGTGCACGTTTCAGAGACAATTCAAGGATCAGCTCCAAGAAACCTTGCCTGCCTGATCCATGGCTCCCTGTGCCTCCTGAACTTCTGAAGCGTTCACAGTTGATAGCATCTAATTTAGCACTTGATTATATATGTGCATCTAACATAATTTACAGTCATTTTAATGTGTCTTAGACAGGTTTCACCCAACTAGACTATAAATTTACTGAAGGTGGGAATCATGATGTACAGTTCCTTAAGATCATAAATTCTGGAATCAAACTATGCTCAAATCCTGGCTGTCTCACTTGCCAGCTGCATGATGTTGGGCAAATGACTACCTTCTCTGTGCCTTAGATCCTAATGTTTAAGATGGACATGGTAACGGGACCTATCTCATAGGAGTGACTATAAGGGTAAATGAGGCAGCTCATGTGCTAATGTTCAGCTGATGCTTGGCACGCTGTAAGAACTCAGTAAACATCAGCTATCACTATTAACCTCCATACTACTAGGTGTATCACTGAACACTGAGTCACTGCGTCACTGCTTGCGTACTCAGTCGTGTCCAACTCTTTGCAACCCCATGGATGGTAGCCTGCCAGGCCCCTCTGTCCAAGGGGTTTCCTAGGCAAGAATACTGGAATGGGCTGCATTTCCTTCTCCAGGGGATCATCATTGGCAGGCAGATTCTTTATTTTATTTTTTTTATTTTTTTAGGCAGATTCTTTACCACTGAGCCACGTGGGAAGCCACTGAGTAGATGCCTAAAAATTAATTTTTATTGACTTAGTTGGTCACATGTAAATTTCTTTTTTTAATTGTCTTTTATTTTTTTGGCCATGTGACATGTGAAATCTCAGTTCCCTGGTCAGGGATCAAAGTCGGACCCCCTGCAGTGGAAGCACAGTATCTTAACCACCGGACCACCAGCAAAGTCCCATACATTTCTTTTAGATACCTAAAAGAATGAGAAATTCTTGTGTTGAGGCAAAAGGGTGTATTTATACAGACATTAATCATTTTAAAACATTTATGTGGACAATTTTACTTCCCCAGTTTTGAAGAATATCTCATCATTTCCCCATATATGCCTTCACCTAGGTCCTGGAGACCAGGTGAGAAAAGCAAGAGGATTATTACCTCCCTTCCTCTATAAGGAAATACGGAATAAGCATTGGATGACAAGATAAAATTCAGATGCCTGGAGGATTCTGGGTGCTAGGTACCAGTCATCTGTTAAGAATCCAAACTAAATAGTCCCCACTTGTGTCATTCTTGTTTTTGACAGTGTGTACCTCAAAGAAATAAACATAAATTACTATATTGGCCTGTTGGTAGTTGAGGCGACAGTATGTCTAGTAGACTACAAGATGATAATAAAGGTGAGAAGAAGGTAATTAAAGACCTAAGGCTGAGCTCTAGACAAACGCTATTATTATGTTTTATATTATACCCATTACCATGCATGCCCCTCCCCCAGTATACTACAAATTAAATGGTTTCAATCGGTTTATCTGGAAGAGCCAATACCTTAAGTCCTTTGTAATCCTTGGACTGCATCCTGGTAAAATCCTTGGGACTCAGGTTACTACAACGAACAAACTTATTGTAGGTGGGGGAGGGGACATGAGACTGCAGCAGATACTACAAGTGTGGGATATGTGTGGATCCATACCATAATAAAAGATCATAGAATGTGAATTGCTTTGTAGAAAGATCCTTTAGGGCTAATTCTTCTTCTTTTATACTTAAGTGTCGTATTTTCCAAATGAAATATTAAGAAAATAAGAGCTGGTGGAAAAACAGAATTGATTTACTTGTTTTAGGATGAGATGATGTAAGACAGAAGCTGAAGGGTAATTGTACTGAGTCAGAATCCCACCTGCTAACTGTTCCCTTTGTCCAAAATCTCTGATGGATGAGGGGCCAGAGCTGTCAGGCAAGGTGGGAATCAAACACAGATGGATGGGAAGTTAGGGTTTTGTGACAAGAGTCAGCACCTGGCTTCCAGCCCTGTTGTGCCACCACTTGGCACTGCCTCTTTCGACAGGTCACTCCACTTTTCCTCATTAGTAAAATGACCAGTGAGGGACAGGAAAATCATCTCTAGAGCTCTTTCTAGCCCCACCATCTTAGGATTCTGTTGTGTCTAAGAAGACCTATGTCTTACTCCACATTGTAGATTTGCTGTTGTTTAGTCACTAAGTCCTGTCCAACTCTTTTGTGACCCCATGGACTGTAGCCTGCCAGGCTCCTCTGTCCATGGGATTTCCCAGACAAGATTTCCCCTCCAGGGGATCTTCCTGACCCAGGGATCTGCGTTGGCAGACCCATGTCTCCTGCATTGGCAAGCCGATTCTTTACTTCTGAGCCACCAGGGAAGCCCATGTTGTAGATTCAGTTCAGTTCAGTTCAGTTCAGTCACTCAGTCGTGTCTGACTCTTTGCGACCCCATGAACCGTGGCACGCTAGGCCTTCCTGTCCATCACCAACTCTTGGAGCTTACCCAAACTCATGTCCATTGAGTCGGTGATGCCATCCAACCATCTCATCTTCTGTTGTCCCCTTCTCCTCCTGCCTTCAATCTTTCCCAACATCAGGGTCTTTTCAGATGAGTCAGCTCTTGGCATCAGGTGGCCAAAATACCGGAGTTTCAGCTTCAACATCAGTCCTTCCAATGAACACCCAGGACTGATCTCCTTTAGGATGGACTGGTTGGATCTCCTTGCAGTCCAAGGGACTCTCAAGAGTCTTCTCCAACACGACAGTTCAAAAGCATCAATTCTTCAGCTCTTAGCTTTCTTTATAGTCCAACTCTCACATCCATACATGATTACTGGAAAAACCATAGCCTTGACTAGACGGACCTTTGTTGACAAAGTAACATCTCTGCTTTTACTCTTCACCTAAAAACTTGATCTTTCTCTCTCCCCTCCCCTGCTCTCTTTCTTCTTTCCCAAACCTCCCAGC